AATTAATTTAGTCAAATATATTTTTTATAATATGATGATGAAAAACTAATGCAATGTGAATTAATATATATGTAAAATAATACAATATACATAGTTAAATAAATAAAATCGATAGGTTGTTTTTAGACTACCTRCACTGGCAGAATCGATGCTGGCGGGATCGATAAAACCCCGCGAGAAATAATTTTACCTAGTAGAAACACAAAAAATAGTGTAATACCTAGTTTGAATTACACCAAAATAAGTATAACAGCTAATATTAAATCTTAAAAGTTTATATCTCCAAGAAGAAAATTAAGACGATAAAAAATTATGCTCTATGGACTATAGGGGTTTTTTAAGTACCTATTATAAATTTCTACTTTATACTGTATAATATATTGTATATACCCCTTACTTTTTTCCTACCACAATATGCTTAAATTATACTTAAATACAACAATTGTATTTTATTTATTACATACTAAGTAGGTAGGTAGGTAAGTATTATACCTATCTATACGGCTATGTACCCAATATAACTATCGCAGTTGGTATTGGCGTATTGGMACTTTATTTATCTACGAAACATAAACTTTTCAATGGTATGAAATAAATAAAATATACAAAATATAATTTTTTAAGCCAATTTTCTCTCCTATTGTTTTTTTTTCGAACACGAGGCCCTGAAACCTGACACCTGCATGCTCTTTACCACTAAGAACGGCTTTGTCATCAGTTACTATACAATATACATACATACTTAGATTTACTACAGCCTTGTTGTCAAATAATATATGTCTACTTACAACTGTTAACTACAACTATACGTGAACCTAATTTTTATAAGAATTATAGTTTCTAATAAACCATAAATTGTAATAATTGTTTTAATCAGCTATATAAAGTGTATTACTATATATATTATATTATACCTAGTTTTATTTATGTTAAGCCTTATAAGCAAATAAAATACTGCAAAACAAAATTGAATATCATAAAACAAATTACAAAATATAAAGCGAATTTAAATCATTAAAGCTATTTCATGAAATGTCTGTAAAAAGATGTATTTTTTAATTTTTTAGGTTTCGTACTTTTTTGGAAATATATTTTTGCAATTATTATTATCTTAGCGAAAACTGAGCATTTAATTATTAGGTATATATCCCGTATCTCGATCATTACCTTGCTATTATTATGACATTACTAATTATACAAACATTATGATACATTTGAATATTATCGGTATTTTATACCCTAACTACAAGTCAATAGTCATGCCACATATCAAATGACACTTATTGCGCAGTAAACTGAAGTTAAGCGAACGTTATAACCMGTAAAATATTAT